ACTGGATACCAACAACAAAAGACAAATTATTTCAATTTCCAAATACATTTTGGTTGAAATTAATATTGATATGAGTTTACAGCCTATAATAAAATCTTCAGAAGACTGTTAAAAGTCATAGAAGACATTTAATTTTTTTCAAGATATGACCATGTGATTCTAGAAGGAGGGGCTGTGTTACATTGCATTTTGAAAAACTACGAACTTTGAAAATTTTTCTCAAATTGCACTAATTTGAAAGCAAACTAACGCACTTTGTGAAAATTTAAACTTCGTTGCAAAGTGTGTTAGTATCGATCATATTAACGCACTTTAAAAAAAATAAAGCTCAATATTCTTACAAATAATCGGTATGATAAATAATTGACCTGGTTCGATAACTTTTTTATGATAAGGTCACTTCTAATTCAGGACCTGAGATAATGACGTTTTAAATATTTTCGGTTTTGATAAATGTTATAAAAGAGAAATGGATCTTTAAGAAAAAAAATAGAGAGATGATTGTAAAATACCACAGACTTAAAGCATATCACTTATCTTAAGAAAAGGAAGGGGTGTTATTTTGATTTTTCAAAAGTTTGAAAATTGTTTCTCTCTCATACGTTTTACTATACTTAAAGATTTCTGGTTGTTTTTTGTTTTAAGTTATTTATTGAAAGTTTTCAACGTCATACCAGTTATGTAAAGAATAATGATAATTTTACTTAGATTTGAAAGTATAAACCAATTCCGATTAAATTAAAATCGATCTCAATCAAAATAAATGCAAAATTTATTACCTAATCAAAGTAAAGACAAATATCACCTATGCGACATATATACATGTACATGTAAAAATAAATGTAATCTTAAAACCATATAAGAAAAGAGCCAAATTTAACGATAACATATGATGATTTTCTTCTGTATATAATTCCGGATCTGTTTAATTTGGGAAAGTATAAAAGAAATAGCTCAACATGACTCTTTATCTCAATATACATGTTTCCATCAACTTTATTGATTGATTCAATAGTTTTAACTTTGTATTCATAATATACATGAGGAGAATTTTTCGTCATTGAATGTTTTGGATATTAGAACCTAGTGAAAATCGGATATTGAATTCAAAAGATAAATTAAAGTCTCATCAGAGACATGCAAAAATCATGTTATTTATGAATATAATAAAAGACAAAGGTTTTTGCAATCGCACCTGATCCCACCTCTGATGTTTTGGAGATCTGTGTTTGCTTTACTCTTGTTTTGTATTGTTTTATGGACTTTGAGATTGAATACTGTTCGTTATCTCCATATTCTTCATTGATCAAAACATTTATTTATTTTTTTTTTTTGGAGTAGTATTTTTTGCACTTAATGTTTTTATGCACTTAGAATTAAGTATTTACAGAAATTAGGAATACAGGAAGACTACAAAAACTAGAAATATGTCCAAAGGATATGTATGCCCCCCATGCAACATGAAAATTTATATTTGTGTAAGAAATTTTATCAGTAGTATTCAGTACATGTATATCCTGAATAGTGAAATAGTTATCTTGTTTACATCAATCTGCATATCAGCTTATGACGTTGACACTAATCTAGGAAAAGTGGGGTCAATGTCAAAGGAAATATCAAAGTAAAAAAAAAAACGTTGATGCAGTTGCATATCTCTCATCAATATGTATCAACATATGAAGTTTGATAAAAAATATCAAGAATGATTTCTTTAATTAAAATTGACTTAAACACAATTTGATAAAAGTGAGGTCAAGGTCATATAAACATCAAGGTTCTAAATATATTGATGCAGATGAATTGCTTACATCAGTATGTATCAGCGTATCAAGTTTGACACTGAATGGGAAAAGTAAGGTCATGGTCAAAAGAAAGGTCAAGGTAAAAAATGTTGATGCAGTTGCATATCTCTCATCAATATGTATCTACATATGAAGTTTGATAAATATAATTAAAATGATTTTTTTTTATTAGAACTGACTTAAATACAATTTAATAAAAGTGAGGTCAATGTCAAATAAAAGATAATGGTCAAGTATGTTAACAGTGTTCAATTGCTTACATCAGTATGTATCAGCAAATGAAGTTTGACACTGATTAAGAAAAAGTAAGGTCAAAAGTCAAAAGAAAGGTCAAGGCCAAAAATGTTGATGCAGTTGAATTTACTTTCATCAGTATGTAACAGCATATGAAGTTTGATAAAAAAATATCTTGAATGGTAAAACTGAGCTAAACACAAATTTAAGATAATTCATGGTCAAAGGAAATGTCTAGGTCAAAAATGGTAATGCAGTTGAATAGCTCTCATCAGTATGTATCCAACATGTGATGTTTGATAACAATATCTTGAATGGTATGTTTAAAACTGCGCTAAACATTAATTTAAGAAAAGCGAGGTTAATGTCAAAGGAAAGGTAAAAAAATGTTGATACCATTGCAGATCTCTCTTCAGTACATGTATCTATCAGCATACGAAGTTTGATGAAAACATCTTGGATAATTTCTTTGAAACTGAGCTTTGAACAGAGCTAAACACAAAGTGTGATGGAAGGACAGACGGAAGGAAGGAAGGACACGAGGCCGGAAGACAGACAACAAAAACTATATGCCTCAGCCATATTCATGGTGGAGAATAATGATGATGTTAGGTGTAATTACGTGTTTTAATTAGTTCGCATGCAAAAATACAGTTAATTCTCGATAAACCGCCACCTTTTGTAATTTAGAAATCATGGCGGTATAACGAATTTGGCGATGAATTGAATTTCCCATCCTCTGGAAAACAAGAAGTAGAGTTACCGTTCTTAGAAATACTATTTAGCGTTTCTATTCATATTATTACATGTACATGTATATAATTAAAACATATTTCTGATTGAAAATACTTCATGTAATTTTTTAATGTACGGATACGCTAAAACAAAATGTGCAGTTATGAAATAAAGAAAAGTTCATGGGTGTGCATTTAAATCTGCAGTTCTGCTATTGAAAAAAAAAATGCTGTGTCGATCGTCGTGATATATTGTCGATAGTAAGTAAAATGAATTCTTGAATAAATTTATTGTTTATGGCAACATTGTTAATTAAACATTCACAATTCATACCGTATTATTTTTTTTTCAGAAAACTTCGCAATTTTTAAAGCAGAGATCATCTAAATTATATAGTTATCGGCGGACTTTAACAACGACCGCTTTCGTGGCAAAGCGGTGACTAAATGATTTTTATTAAACAGAAAACAAAATTATTATAACAGTTCATGTTAAAATCTCTGTTTATTTAGTTCTTGTTTAATTACTTAATTGCATGTACAGTCAAACTTGTTTTAAGAGGCCACCTTTGGGAAGTCTGGAAACTGGCCACTTAAGACAGGTGGCCTCTTATTCCAGTTTGCCCTCGAAAAAGACATTCGGGCAATGAATAAACAACATTCAGTGCTACAGTTAAATTAATAAAATAATAAAACAGGTCAATTTAACAAAGGCTCTTTATGTGTATATTTAAAAATTAAAGCTCATTCAAAAAACTATTAAAGAGTTAGAATTTTTTAAGGTTTTGTGCATGTTTCTGTTCCTACATATTAGTTAAACAAGAAATACATACAGTGCCTGACTATTATCCTTTTTTATAAAAAAAAAAAATACACAAAAATACAGTTTATTAGTAAATAAAATAAATCATAGAAATTTAAGTATCGGTAGAATATGTCAATAAAAATTTCACTTGCATATGTTCAAAAATGGTCAGCAGTGTAACCCCCCCCCCCCATTAATTCATCGGCAATTAACTTATTTGCTGAAGTTTTTAAAGTTTGGTAAATTTTATTGTTTATAAAGCTATCAGAATTTCTACGTAACATAAGACACTGAAATAAAATTAACCAGTTGACCAGAGAGATGTATTGAGTGCAGACGCAGTTGAAAATCTTTCCATAACACAGGTGTCATATGCAGTAGAGCGTGACTAATCCCTATCGATCGTCTGTTGATAGAGAAATTCACGAGATAATCATGCCAGATGAAGCACTTTGTTTTCACAAGAGAAGCAATTAGGGCTTCTACATGGAATCAAAATTCAAAAGGTGTGAATTTCTTTAGATAGAGGAAAGCATCAATTTTATTTAAATTATTTTTATTTTTCAATCGGCGATCTTGAGAAATAATTACAAATTGATCTAACAGATTTTTTTCAAAAATGCAAACAGAGTTCAGTGTATCTAATAGTAATTTGTTTAATTGCATTAATAGCTAGGTTAAATTGGCTATCGGGATATGATTACCCAAGCGATTGAGTTTAAAAGACATAATAGAATCACAGCAAGTGACGAAATGGCCGCCTAATACAGTGTTAATAGGATTGTGGGTGGGGAATTTGAGTGGCCGCTGGCCGCGTTACACAGGTGGCCGTTTATTCCAGTTAAAATATATAGTGAAAATTGTCGGGGGGAACTGAAAGTGGCCGCTGATCGCGAGTGGCCGTTGATTTCGGGTGGCCGCTAAGACAAGTTTGACTGTACCTTGTCTGCCTTTGCATGCTTTACAACAGGGATAATAGTGTCAACCAATTAGCCGCGCTTCACTGACCATGCGCACCTGTGGCGGTATATCGAGATAGTTGACACTTAAAAATGGACGTTTGTTGTGAAAACAGGGTGGGGGATGGCGGTATGCGAATTTGGCGTTATAAAGGGAATTTTATATAGCAGGAAAAACGTTCTTGGGAAATCATGGCGGTATTGCGAGAATGGCGATGAATCGAATGGCGATAATTCGAGAATTGACTGTATAATTAAAATCAATGACATGCGATGTGCCACTCATGATCATTGTGCCACTCATGATCATGGTTTTTCAGTGGACTGATTTTTAACATTATCAATTTTCAGGAATTTCAAATAAAAAAATGTAAAAAGCTTAAAATGAAAGAAAAAAATAACTGCATCCATAGACCCATGTAATTTTGAATTTAAATTGTTAAATTTATTTCTTTTGTATTCCTACCTTTTATTAATGTTCCTCGCTTTTCACGGATTTCAAATATTTCCTCGTGAACCTCAAGTCCTTTCGTTGATTTTAACTTTTTTATTTCCTTCTTACTTCGCTTGAGTAGTCGATTGAGTAATGTTGTTTTCCCCGCCCCAGCACATCCCACAATCATCCCCCGGGCGTGATGGACTTCCTGTACTCCCCCTCTCTCGGTGTACTGAACGTACCGCACCCTGGCTTTCTGGTCCCATTCCAATATTTCACGTGGTACTTTCACTGTCCATATAATAAATATTTATGTAAATACTCCAAATAGATCTTCACATACATTGAAGAAAAAAATATCTATTCAAATTATTTCTTTCCTTTCTTTATCATGTGTTTATAAACATACACAATATTTTAATGTTGTAGAAGAATAAGATGAATAAACATGCTCGATCATGCATCGATTCAAAAGCTAAGATTCAAACATTTCAAGCTCATTAAAATTTGTACGTTTTATCTTCTTTTCTCACCATGCAATAGATTATATTACAGAATTTTATAATTTTTATTACAATACTGTACAATCATTAGAAATTCTTGTTTGAAAAATACTTGATTTCTGAATCTTAGATTAATAATGAATATTCAGTTTCTTTATCCATCAATCATTAATAATTAAATGACAGAGACATGATCAATACTTACAATGTTCACTGATCCTGTCATGAATCTCCCCGTCAGACATGGTACAGTGTATGATGATGTCCAGCTGTAGACTGTCTATGAACAGGTCGTACATCTTCTCCGGTCTGTCCGGTATATACAGACATCTCTCTCCCTCACTCCTCTTATAATCCCAGGACCGGCAGTATTCTGATATCACGTCACGTGACGCTGTGGTCAGGAAAAACTCCAGATCACTGTCCTCTACCAGACACTCCGTAACAAAGGCGTACATGGCGTCATGTCTGATGTCGTCTGATTTAAACGTTATCTCACCATTCTGGGTTTCCTTGACATCATCTTGAAGGGATGTCACATCAACATCATCAGACGCAGAAATCCTTTGGTAATACAGTTCTCGTATCTTTATCAATATTGACTTGAACGCCTCCCTATTTACAGTAGCAGTGTACTTGTCACACAACAGTAAACTGTAAATAATACTTCTGTCGACTTCTGTATATTCCTGATACTTGCCTAAAATGAATGAAATCAAAGAGTTAAAGGATTACATGTATAACCGATTACAGGCCTGCGTATTCATAGATTTATCAAGGTATACTTTTCTTATATAGACAATTCTACTTTATACGTTCTTCATTTTTAGACGAAAAACACAATTTTAATAAAACAGAGTCTTTTTAGGATTGCCTTCATAAAAAGCGCCGCGTCAACGCGCCGCGTCAAACCTAAGACGTAACAAGAGGCCCATGGGCCACATCGCTCACCTGAGAAGCTTTGACCATTCTGTTCTTTACCAGATTTCCCCCTTGTTATACATAATTCATCCCCACCCTACCCCACTCATCATAATTTAGACATCTTGAAATCTACACTACCCCATGATCCTTCCATGGGCACATATGTTTCAGCTTTTTTGGCCCAGTGGTTCCTGAGAAGAAGATTTTCAAAGATTTTTCCTATATATTTCTATGTAAATATTTGATTCCCTTTAATGGCCCCACCCTTCCCCTTGTTGGTCATGATTCCTATAATTTAGAATTTACACTACCCCAGAATGCTTCCACATAAGCTTCACTTTTTCTGCCCCAATGGTTCTTGAGAAAAAGATTTTCAAAGATTTTTCCTATATATTTCTATATAAAACTTTGATTCCCCATTGTGGCCCCGCCCTTCCCCCGGGGGTCATTATTTGAACAATTTAGAATCTACATTATACCTGGATGCTTCCACATAAGTTTCAGCTTTTCTGGCCCACTGGTTCTTGAGAAGAAGATTTTCAAAGATTTTTCCTATATATTTCTATATAAAACTTTGATTCCCCATTGTGGCCCCGCCCTTCCCCCAGGGGTCATGATGTGAACAATTTAGAATCTACACTATACCAGGATGCTTCCACATAAGTTTCAGCTTTTCTGGCCCAGTGGTTCTTGAGAAGAAGATTTTCAAAGATGTTTCCTATATATTTCTATATAAAAATTTGATTCCCCATCGTGGCCCCGCCCTTCCCCAGGGGGTCATGATGTGAACATTTAGAATCTACACTACCCCAGGATGCTTCCACATAAGTTTCAGCTTTACTGGCCCAGTGGTTCTTCAGAAGAAGATTTTTTAATGACCCATTCCTATTTTTGTCTTTTCTTGATTATCTCCCCTTGCGAGGGGATATGTCCCTTCATGTTAACAATTTCAATTCCCCTTCCCCTAAGGATGCTTTGTACCAAGTTTGATCAAAATTGGCCCAGTGGTTCTTGAGAAGAAGTCGAAAATGTGAAAAGTTTACAGACGGACGGATAGACGGACAGCTAGACAGACGGACGGACGGACGACGGACAAAATGTGATCAGAAAAGCTCACTTGAGCCTTCGGCTCAGGTGAGCTAAAAATAGGTAGCGACTGTTCCTTCGCCAAGCGCTCGGCAGTAGAAGTGAAAGTCACGGACTTTCGGATATGACCTTAAAAACGTAGGTCCCGTGTCACGGTAGGCGCTGGCACGATAAAGAACCCTCACTGCTCAATGGCCCTGAGTGCCGAGTATAGGTCTAAATTTGAAGCCCTTCACCGGCATACGGTGACGTCTCCATATGAGTGAAAAATTCTCAAGAGGGACGTTAAACAATATACAATCAATCGATAGTAAAAATTGTTTTGGATATGTTCTACAGCTGCAAATGACACAAAGATATATTTTCTACATTCTGAACCGCGGCTTGCAGCATAGTCTATTCTACCATTGCATTATTACGTGAAGAGGGTATCAGCAGGTGGTTCATTTTGACAGTACTACATCTTCATTTTAAATACAATTAATTCTTATCATTCATGAATGATCATGGGTATTTTTTACATCGATGAATCTATTTATGAGCAAATGCAGTAAATGTTTACTTTAATTTTTTAAAGTTATTTATTTTGCTTTGAAAACTGAAATAAATGATCCGACTATTTCACCTTTTAATAACTTTTTGTGCTTTTCTTGCATGGACGCTTTTAAAAATTGTAAAATATTTTTTTAATGCTTAATTTTGTTTGCAATCGATTTGATGCTTTTCATCAATTAAACTTGTATGGGTCTGAATTGAATCAAAGTACAGTACTGCAAACATTAATGTATATCTTTTTAAGGTCAAACTTTACATGATTCAACAATGCATTTGGTATCATGTATTCTGGGACAATCTGTACTAGTATGCCTTTTTGACTTTACCGGTAAATAAATCTTCAAATAATTTAATATGTGGATAGGGACCATAAATTTGGGCATTCTTAAATTTGCATTGAAAAAGTAGAATTAAGTATAACTTTTTATACAACTTGGTAAGTGTCACAAATCGTGCAGTGCTACTATACTAGTCAAAGAATGACAACTCACTCGTGGATGACAAGAACTCGTACATGTAGATTTTGTCTTTCATCTGTTGTATTTTTACCTTTGTTATAAATGCTCTTTGTATGATCAGATAAATCCTTTCTTTATTTATTTCCTTGTGAATTTTCCATTTTAAAAAGATCAGACCTTTCTCATTATGTGATAACTGAGTCTGGTCAATAAAGAAAAGACATATCTTTCATCAATAAGTTCATCGATGCAAATTGGTTTCAGACTTTTAATTTGGATGATAAACCTCTTACTGTTAAAAAATCTGTTACGTACTTCACATATCAGACTATTTAACCCCATATTGCAAGGATAAAGGTTTTAATTAAATGAGATGGATGAGAAATTTCTTTTTCTTTTACAAATGGCGGGTAAGGTGCACGCCTCTCTAACATACTATCCGTTTATCCTTGAAAATAAAATGTCCATGTTTTTTTTTTCCTTTCGAGGCTTGATTTCTGCCATCAAATCTAATACATGTAAGTTATTATACTTCTAACAGGTGCACAGGATATTTCAAATGAAGAATAATCAAACTTCTCTTCCTTGATTTTCACTTTAAAAGTACCACAACTCACGGAATCTAGAAATAATCTTAGTGACGTAGCATCCTTTTTGATGGGAGGTATGGGGGGGGCATTGCATGATAGTGAGGGAAATATGAAGACTTATTCAGCCAAGAAAAATCATATTCCCCGAGGGCTTCGCCCGAGGGGAATATGATATTTCTTGGCTGAATAAGTCTTCATGTTTCCCGAACATTCATGCAATCAATGAATTGTTTATTATACCGAAACAAGGAAAGCCTTTGAACATGCTGAAATTAACATAAACTTTCAAATTCGGCACCGCTCTCAAATTCACTTTCATTTTTTACGTAAAGTTACTATAAAACATTATCATCAGTTTGGGATGTAAACCAGGCTATTGTGACGTCTACATCTCTCGGGATTTTTCGTTCAACGAACGAGAACTGTATTGCAGCAAAATACACTAGGTGTTCCGAAGAGGTGGAATATGATGAAAGCGTGCCGACGACCGGGAAATATGAAGCTTTACGGCCCGATCACGTGAAAACTTAGAACCAATCAGATAACGCGTTGTCTAGAATATTTATAATGAGGTATAATAAATTGTTTAATATACCAAATCAAACACAATGCAGGAAATATGAAGAAAATGCAATGGACATTACAATATGAAAAAGCTCTATAAGTTATACTACTAGCCGCACTTCAAAAAAAAAAAAACCTTCCATGTGATTTACACATCAGCAACATATAAACCGTACCCATGAGAACATTATTGAAAATATTTATATTTTATTACATGTTAAAATTTAACAATCTGACTCAACAGTATAACGATATCAGAGTCACAAACTTAAATGCTCAACTCCAGAAATTCTTTGACAAGCAAAAAAAAAAAAAAAAAAAGGGAAAGTTCCCCAAACCGTTTGGGGGGGGGGGGGGGAGGGTAGAGGCCAACTTTTTCAAAGGCAAGTTACTTTCAAATCCAGTGGGGGGATCCATTCAATGAATATTTCCTACAGTAAAGGTGATGTTGGGGATAATAGCTGTGATTTTGTTCTTTTTTAAAAAGTGGGGGGGGGGGCACAGACAGATTCTTGCCCCCCCACATCTAAAAGGGGGGGGGCTAGGGCCCCCGCTGCCCCCCCCCCCCCTGTGACTACGCCTATGATCATTACGGGGACCAAAGGTCACCCGATATTTAACATTAATAAGGGGGCTAGTGGTCATCTTATATTGTACTGTACATCAGTAGAGGGGCCAGAGGTCACCTTATATTGTACACCAATAAGGGAACCAGAGGACACCTTATATTGTACATCAATAGGGGGACTGGAGGACACCTTATATTGTACATCAGTAGGTGGACCAGAGGTCACCTTATATTGTACATCAGTAGGAGAAACAGAGTTCACCTAATACTCTGAACATCAGGATGGCAAGTTCTCCAGTGAGATTTTTCATGAGTGAGGCATTCACAGAGCCTCTGGATTAAACCTCAAAGGATTAACTTCCAAATTGTTCACTTGTACATCAGCAGGGGTACCTTTAGGTCACCTTTTATTGTACATCAGTAGGGGGACCAGAGGTCACCTTATATTTGACATCAGAAGGATGACCAGACGTCATTTTCTGTACGGGGAATAGTGGTCACCTAATATTGTAATGTACATCTGTAGCAAGACCAGAGGACACCTTATCTAACACCAGAAAGTGGACTGAGGGTCACCTTATATTGTACATCAGTGAGGGGATGAGAGGTCAGAGCTCTCTGATCATCAGCAGTTGTACCAGGGTTCACCTTATATTGTACATCAGTAGGGGGACCAAGAACACCTTCTATTGTACATCAGTACGGGGACCAGACGTCATCTGATATTTTTCATGAGTACGGAGACTAGTGGTCACCTAATATTTTACTGTACATCAGTAGAGGGATCAGAGGTCACACATCAATAAGGGGACCAGAGGACACCTTATATTGTACATAAGTAGTAGGACGAGAGGTCATTTTATATTGTTCATCAGCAGAAGGACCAGAGGTCAGCTTATATTGTATATAAGTAGGGGGACCAGAGGACACCTTCTATTATTCATAAGTAACGCAG